ATTTAATATATATATATATATAGGGAGCATATCAAGTGAGAAGAATTTATTATGAGAAGGTGAGAAGGTTAAAATATAATCCTTAGATTAATCAAGTGAGAGAAAATTTGAGATTCAATCAAGTGAGAGAAAATTAATCTAAGGGTTATATTTTAACCTTCTCACCTTCTCATTAATCTAAGAGCAACATAACTGTTCTACGAGTCTAGGCTCTTGGCCTTCAACTTTTATGGATCTTTTTGAATATAGGTATTTTAGACTTGATGGATCATCTACTATTCAGTGACGCAGAGACATGTGGTTGAGGAATGATTTGTTGCATAAGGCAATGTAATGTGGTTGAGGACCCTTGTGCATGCTTTTACTTCTATGATAATAGTTCTTTGGGTAGTTTCAATGCATGAAGTTTATCATTTAGTATTGTTACTCGCAGATTCTAAGAGTAAAGAAAGATTCTGTGTAACTGTGGTTAGTTGTTACTTCTATGATGTACAACAGCTCCGCAATTAATAAATCAAAATAGATGGGCTGGATTTTAGTCTGTAGGGACAAATGATAAAACATGGTTTTGGAGAATTGTGGGCTTGGGTATTAAGGGTTTTTTGTGTCAGAAATTTTCAAGAAAACATGTAAAGCTGATATTTATATATGGCATGTCGAAGAGTATTTCTCCCCTCCCTCACAATATTTTTTTATAAAACTCATCAATATTCCACAGGGCATTTCCAATTAAAGGATTAGGAAGTTCTAAATTCCCAAAATGAGTAATTTCTTAATTCTTTTAAGAAGCTCATCACTGTAAAGGAAAAATAGCTGTGAAAGGAAATTTAGTAGTTAAAGTGGGACATTTCAATGCTGGGATTTTGAGTCTCTTTGCACTCGTAGTATTACAGATTTACAGTAAATCATTATTGACCTTTCTTTGTTGCTCTGCTTATAGCTATCTCATGGGAGTCATTGTTTCTGACAAACATAGAAACTAGAAAACCTAGGTACATTTTTTTTTTGTCTTTGTTGAGTGAGTCCGATGTTTTGGAGGATATCTCATCCTTTACTGTGTGGTATCTTCCCTCTGTTCTTAGGAAATTTCTCCCCATTATAAAACAAGTCCTAAAACAAAGAAGATTCCAGCAATTCCCTTCTGCAAGAATCTAAAAGTTTAAGCAGTTAACGAAAACTGAAAGCTAAACTATGATGCATTCAACTAAACTTCATTACCGACCAACGAACCATAAGTTTTTAAATCACCATTAAGTAAGTGCTCTCTTCATCACCATTTTCTTCATTTATTTTTTCTTTTAATCCTACTAGTTTTATAAGCACGGATTCCACTACAATGCCTGCATCCCTAGGTCATTCATGAGTTGCAAGCAAATAAAACAAGCTCTAAACACAAGTTCCAAACAAAAAAAACACATAAAATTTCATATTACATTGAGGCAACAACAGTTAAACATGACAACAACAAAATACAACAGGCAACAATAAATCAACAACCTACAATTTAAATTTTATAATTTACAACATAAGTAGCAGAATTATTAATTTAATTGGTAATTTATAATTGAATTAACCACTAACCCGTATGTGACGGTGGCGGAAGGGTGGAGCGGCGCGGCGGCGAATCGTGATGTGCAGACTCGAAGCTTCTTCGCTTCACTCTAGGGTCGTCCAAATTTATTTGTTTTCTAATTTTTTTTAAAACAAAACGGCGCCGTTTTTGGTTTTTAATAAAATCTCCGGTCCGGTCAGGGTTTAAAAACCGGTAACCGGCCGGTTCAGACCGGTTTACACAGGAGAAAAAAATCAAAAACATTTCAAACATCAATAGAGATAGGGAGACAGCGCCTCTGATGATCACAGTTGGTTTGGTTGGCAAAAGGATGAGTCTTAGGACTGAGTTGTTCGGAAAGGTTAGAGAGCTGAAGAAGCGTGTCACAAGTCTTCGACATTTCTGCCACTACCAACACAAACATCTTCAAGATCTCGAATTGCTCAAGTGCTTCAAATCCGAGATTCAATTTGAGCTTTCTTCTAATTACTTTCAGGTCCATTTCCTTCCGCAACTCACTTTTCATTTGCTAATTCTCGATACCTTCAATTGCCTTAGACATGATGACAGTTAAAAAAAAATGGGTCTTTTTGAGTTACACGTGCGTTTTCGTGGGTGCAGAATGCTCAAAGTGGTTCCTTAGGGGACTTTTTCGTGGACTCAAACTCACCCAATTCCAAAGATGTGGTTTTGCGGAGAAAATTCGATTCGGGCGAGGAAGTTGCAGTTTCTGCCATTCTGGGTCCTCCTAACTATGAGAAAGACCTTGTTTTCTCAAGAGATGCTTTTATGAAAGTATGTGTAAAGAAACCGGCATTGAGTTCTATCTTGCAATTTGACTGTGAAGTTCATGAAGAAACCGATAAGGGCTCTGATTTTGACATCTATAATGCTTATTATCTCAGATCACCTACATGTCTCAGCCCTTCCATTTACAAAGGGCCCTTATTCAGGTAAGCTGATTCACTGCCCCTCATTCCTTAAAATCTATGTTCTAACATTTTTGGTTTTCTGGTTTGAGTGGAAGTTGATTTGTATTGTGTTTACGATGCTGTTGTTGATACATTTAGTGCTGGCTGGTCTGCTTCAATGAACAAAGATAGGATTGATGTTATTATAGATTATAGATGTATAACCTAATCCAAGTGCCTACACATTTTACTTGCTTGGCTTTGATCATTTGGAGTACTCAGAATAACCTCTCACTTCTTCCCTTTGCAAGTCGAATCCCTTTGTAACATTTTTATAGTTCTTTTATGCTACTAGTGTTACTGTCATGTAATCACTGTACCCTTATTGTTGATAGTGTATTTGGAAATCCATTTGGTTGGCCTTAAAAGGAGGTTTTACACATTCCATTGCTCAAATGTGAAAACAATGAGTGTTAGATTGGCGTTGGTGTTACTGTTACATTACTCCTTTTAACCCACTCCAACGCACGAATGCAAAAGCAATGTGAGTGTTAGATTGATGTTACATTGAAAGCAAAGGATTTCTTAACAAGACCTCCCACAACTTCTGCCTAACTATCCTTATCTTTTTTATATACCATGGCTTCATAACCAAGAACTCTCCACCTAACTATCTATTTAAGCATCAATCCTTTATGGACCTTAAGTGTTGACATACTAATTCCTATGGCTTTTATTTTTAGATGGCAATAGTCCTCTTGGATTAGATATTAGAAGCACATTTTTAACAGAATTTACTCAACTTGACTCTAGTTCTTGGCGTCTTGCTGGTAAACTAGAAACAACTAAGCAAGACATTCAATTGTTGTTTTTAATTGAAGCAGGATTATTTTACCTTTACCAAAAATGAAAAGATATAAATATTTTAAAGTCATTTATCTGTTACTCTATGCTTTTTGGTTACTCATCTGTTAGGCTTCTAGTTTGATAAAGTTAAGCCTGTTAGAATTTAAACTATGTACTAAAATGAAAAACTTGTTCTTAGAAAGTTAGATGGGCTAGATCAGCTGACATGCATTTCCTCGTTACTTATGACTTCATCAAATCAACACCCATAAGCTGGTTTTTGTAGTATCATCATTTCAAATTGTGTAAACCAACCATTCATAAATTATTTGAGTCTTTGTAGTTTTTACTAATACTTGTTCATTGTCTATTCAACATGTGAAGAACATTGGATAATGAGTTGCAACATGCACTGAAGGAATACCTGGTAGCCAAGGGCATTGGGGTAAGCCTAACCAATTTCCTTCTCCGCTACCTACACAATAGAGAGCAAGAGCAGTACGTGAACTGGTTGAAGAAAGGTGAAGCAACATTTGCGGCAAAAGAAGGGTCATTGAGGCAATCTTCAGAGACACATTCTACTTAGGGTTGCAATATTGTCAATTTTTGCACTTGTCGTGGCTGAGGAAATTTTGGATCAATTTTAACTGACATTTTAGTCGATGTTTTTGAGAGTTCGGAAAATTAGGTTGTCAAATAATTAAACTGATTAGTACAGTGTAGAATTATGTTTCTTTTTGGTGTAAAAGTTGTACCTCAACTTTTAAAGAAGTTTGATAAGAGAATTTATATAAAAGTTAGGATAATAAGTTGATTTTAAAATTTGTCAACACTTCTTAAATATCCATCTTCGTTATTTTTCAACCGCTAAAAACAAGTTGTTATGACTCTTGCAAATAAATAAAGTTAAAAATATTCTTATCGAAGCTTTAAGTATTCTAATATTAAAAAGGTTAGAAATATTATAACCTTCTATAAGTTATAACAGTTTCAATTTTGTAACTTTTATAACTGTCCTTAATATTCTTGTAATTGTTCTTTGTTTTTGTCAGGAGATTCCGTTATCAAAGGTTTGTGATTTTAAAAAATATATTGGCCTCAACGAACTAAAAAAATTGAGTATTTACGCAACAAACTTGTTGGGCTTAATTGGGCTTTAAGAGTGTGTAGGACTAATATCTTTTATAGCTCTTTTATTTATTATTATTCTGATCGTAAGTTTACTATCATCGTTAGGGTTACTGTATCTAAGATATTGTCTGCTTTTTTATAGCAATTTTATTTATTATTGTTCTAATCGTAAGTTTATTGTCATCGTTAGGGTCATCATATTTAAAGTATTGTCCGCTTTGGCAGTCATTGGGCCATCACACACACACACACAACAATTCATCAACTTACAACTAATATTTTAGTGAAATCAAACGTCATACCACTCTACAATTCAACAATGATTCAAGCTGTAGTTTTTCTTACCTTTGAATCACCTAGAATCAAGATAGAAGAAGAAAATGAGATCCTCTATGGAACTCTTCACGATACTCTGAAGACTTTGATTTAAATCTCTCTAAGCTTGAATCTCTACAAAGCAGCTCAACTACTCCAAGAAAAATCCGAAAATACTTTCTAGTGGACTCATAGAAGAAAAAATAAATCCTAACTCGAGTTCTTCTCTTTAAACAACTAACGACAACAACAATTAAAATTTAATAAAATCAACAATAATTCACAAAATTCACAGTGTTATAATTTTACAATACTTTAATTATACTAAAATTATTTTAAAAATTTTAATAGAACTTCTTGATTATTATTTCTTTCTTGTTTATATTAAATATATAAAACATTTTAAAATTAGATAAAATATAATAAATTAAAAATTATAATTAATGATATTTTTAGGGTGAATTACATGAAAAAATAAAAATAAAGATAACAAGAAAATTTTATTGTTTAAAAGTGATGGGTAAAAAAATAAAGACACAGAACCCATTTATTTAGATTAAAAAAAAAAGTAATTCCAAATTTCTTTTCAAAAAAAAAATAAAAAAAAATATATATATATATACATCTTTAAAGTTTTAATAAATATTTATTTTACTAAAAATTCTTTTTTAGGAAAACAAAATTAATCAAACGGGCTAAATATTATAAATAAGCTCTGACTAAATTTTAACCACCACATGGGCTATTTGACTTTTAGACGAATTAGATTTAATGTCCTCTGAGGCCCTGAGAACCCAAATTAGATCTTATCTTACCTCGGGTGTGCTTCTACCCTTCTTTGTGCAAATAGTAACTTTAGATATTTTAAACTCTGAAGATTGTCTTTTAAGTTTTACAGGTGTTTGATTGCGACAAAAATTTGAAAAAAAAAATGAGAATAAAGTAGATTTTAGAAAATAAATTGGGAATAGAAAAGATTTTACAATAATAAAAGATAGAGAAAAATGTTAATATTTTTTTCTGACTAGATAGTATTTTTAGGTGAAACATGAGACAATTTTTTCTGGAGTTAATATATATATATATAAGATCTGAGG